GATGCTAGAACTGGTTGTGGATACACCATCCTTAGAAGCGGTCAAAGCCAGACTGGACCTGATCTAGCTAAAGACGTTTAGCAGGATGCCCTGCCTTGGAATGTGGTCAAGCAACTTCATCAATGCCCTATTTACAAGGCTATCAGTCCAGTGGTGGACTGAGAGAAGGCATCAAGATGGTTTTGGTGTTGAATTATGACAACACTAGACTGACACATCAACCCAAATTAATATCCTGACAGTGAGGTAAAGATTTAGCAGACAAGGTGCTTAGCTGACTTGGAGATATATGACTGGTAGTCAGTCACTGCACACTATAAAAGTCCAGTCCATTTTCTTATGGTTGGGTTCTTCAAACATATCCCTTCTTGAAGTGTGTATGAAGATTCCTCCTTTGGGTTGGGACACCCAAAAATTACTCCTTAAGGCTGAGTGAGTGAAAAAGATTTTGCCCATGGTCATTGACATGGGTGAAAGACATCCTTCTCTGCTTTAAAAACTATTTCTTTTTTGCTAGTTTTAATAGAATTGCTTTAATATAGTTGCTTTGATAGAGTGCACTGTGCCATCCTATTCTAGTAGTTTTATCTTCTATAGTGTGTAGTAAATAATTCTGAGTAAGATCTCTTTGTCTAATAATTTACCATAATGAATCATTTTTATATAAATAGATCTGGTTTTCCATAATTTATCCTACAGGACAAAGCTGTACAAAGGTTCAATCACACCTCTATAATTTCTTAAACTTAAATCACCAACAGTCTGAGGCTAGGATTGGATCCAGCTGCACCTTGGCTTTTCTCTGAGAAGGAATTTAGAAAGCAAGGGAGTCCTGTCTGCACATCATGGCTCAATGGGAGGGCTTTCTACTAAGTTTTGTCTGAAGACCCCACTCACACTCATGAGAAGAAGCCCCTGCTTATTGCAGGGGGGCTGGACTAGATGGCTAAATTGAATGGCCCCTTCCTACCTTCTATGATTCTATGATTCACTGGTGACGTGTGAACCGTAAATATCCCAGGCAGGTCAGAAGCAGTGAAAGACACGCCCTGTCAGGTCATGGTTACTGGGTGATCTTTTATTACGGCCTAGGTAAGCCTTGTTTTTCCCAGTCCTGGATTTAGCAAGGCCCTATCTTTGCAGTTCTTACCTTGACTTTGCTCAGGTAACACAAAGTATGGGGCTCTCTCTGTACATGTACACCCTCTTTTTAGAGGACAGAGCAAAGCAGCATAAGTAAGGAATTGTTTATGAGCATGGCTTAAACTAGGGAGGGAGGGAGGCACTAAGTGGTCAAATCCAGGCTGTAAGATGAGCCTGTCTAACCTGCTGCATTTAGCCTCAAAAGACAAGGTCAACAGAGTGCAACAGCTGAACAGCTGACCAAGATAAATTCAAGTGTTTTGGTGAATCAGACATCATCCTATCTGGTTTGTAAGGTGGTGGTCCAACAAAGACATTTGATTTCCAGTGCTGAAATGTTTGGTCCATCCAGGTTCATGGAGATCACTGATAAGACACTGTAATGGATGTGTTAGAGATGTCAGGGATACAGAATTTCCACTGTGCATCTGTTTATGTACAAAGTGAGAGCACCTGAGAGCACTTGTTTATGTACAAATGTGAAATGTGTATTTGGCAAACAAAGGCACACTTTGCATTGTGTCACAAATTCAGCCTGTAAAGCTTTAAAAAAGAGTAAGTAAAGTTCATGGATATCTACAAAGACTAATATAAGTATGCAGTAAGAGTACTTTTGACATTTTATTACAGTGGGCTATCACTTTCATGCAAAATATTACAGTGATATGTCTGAGCTTTTTGCAGTATTTCTTAGTAGAAGTGGGACATATATATCATCTTGGGCAATGATATATTTTCTTACAGCCAAATACAGAGGCAGGTATGAATTCTTGTACACCACTTACAGTGAGGGATTAAGAATGAAGAGGTAAATTTCTATAAATTTCTTAACACAATTCAGTTCAAAGCTTGATCTATTCACATGAGAGGTCATGGGATCATGTCCTAATCAGGAAATATTTAAGAGACTAAAATAGAAAACTTATTTTTGAAAACTAAAAGCTTAATAACAAGACATAGGAATATATAGTTACTGTTCGTGTCTTTCTGAATCAAAACCTACCAAAACCCATTTTCTTAATCAGTGCTTGTACAGCTGTGCAAGAATAATGATTTTAACCAGGGCAGCAGGACATTGCTTTGATATTCTGCTCATATATAAAACTGTTAATTTTAGACCAAGAAGATAGAAGGGATCATGCAGTAATCTTCATATGCCAAAAGGCAGTTGCAAAGGGAACAAAATAATCTCTTTTCACCAGGGTGAAAAGTGCAGAGAGGGTAAGAAACATGCTGGTACTGTGTCACCAGACAAAGCCACTCTTGCCAGCATTTAGCAGTGCTGTGTGTCATTGACCTGACAATCTTAAAGGTCTTTTACAACCTAAATAATTCTATGATCCTAAAATGCCTTCGTGGCACAAGCCTGTGTCATGCCTGCAGGTTGTGTGTTACAACCTAGGTCCCTACCCTCTTCCAAATGGTATGTCTTTTAGCTGGGAACTTTCTGTTGTAGTGAACTCTGGAACCAACTGTCTTAGGAGATCATAACGTGTTACGTCATTGCAGGTTGCTAAGGACAAATAAGAGGAACTTTGGCCAACAAAGCTGATTCTTGCATGGCTGAGAACTGATATGAGTGGCCTTACTGGGCCTGCCTGGCAGTACAGGCTTTGCTAGATGTAAAACAGGGAACTTACTCTGAGCAGGCTGGGGGATTCCTTACCACAGAATCCCTTACCACTTCTGCCCTTGCAGAAGTGCAGCTTTCCTAGGCTGGTTTTCAGATTATCAACAGTGACAGTGCATTTGTCTGACTGCAGACAGATACCTTCAACAGATGGTGATAAACCAGCCAGAGGAGATTTCTAGGTATTGCTTCCTTCCTTTACGGAAACTTGCCCAAGTAGACCTAATATGTCATAGCAAAACTATAATTTCATTGCTGTCCTGGAAATAGGTCATTTTAGTCACAATACTGTTTTCCAGATAAACATTACATATAAAATTGAGATATAAAAGGCAGCAGGTCACATACAAAGTATTTAAATTTGGATCTACAGTGACTTACAGAATTGGGATCAGATTAATTTGTTTGCTTATGGTTTGGTTAATTAGTTGTATTTTCTCCTGTTCCCTCAGTTACTTCCTGAAATAAAAACAAATGCTAAGTATTTCATTTCACATAGTCAATTAGGTTGGAAAAGACCTCTGAGACTGAGTCCAATCTATGATCAAACACCAAGTGGACTAGAGCATGGCAATGAGTGCCACATCCAGTCTTTCCTTAAACACCTCCAGGAACGGTGACTTCATCACCTCCCTGGGCAGTTCACTCCAATCTAATCGCCCTGTCGGTGAAGAAACTCTTCCTAATGTCCAATCTAAACCTCCCCTGGCGCAGCTTAACGCTATGTCCACTGGTCCTGTTACTTGTTGTCTGGGAGAAGATGCCGACCCCAGCTGCTCACACCCTCCGTTCAAGTGGTTGTAGAGAGCCATAAGGTCACCCCTGAGCCAACTTTTCTCCAGGCTAAAGACCCCCAGCCCCTCAGCCGCTCTTTATCAGACTTGTGCTCCAGGCCCTTCACAGTTCCGTTACCCTTCTCTGGATTCCATCCATTTGTTTTGCCGCTGGTTTACTGTTTGGTTTGGTTGGTTGTTTTTGTTTTTTTTTTTTTTCCCTCCCACCCTTGGTTCCCTTGGTTACTTCCCGAGATAAAAAACCAGCGTCAGCTATTAAATTTCTCCCTTTCGCAGCCCGGCGCTGCCCCTCAGCCGCCGGGCAGGGGCGGCCGGGCGCGGCTCCGCACGGGGCTCCGCCGGCGCGGCGCGGCCGCCCGGTGACATCACCGGAAAGGCGGGCCAGCCCCGGCCAATGGGCCGCCTGCCGGCCGCGGGGACCCGCGGAGGACCCGGAAGGCTCCGCAGTCGCGGAGAGACGCCGCTCCTGCCGCCCGCCGCTGCGTGCCCGATGGACGCGGTGGGAGTCGCTGCCGCCGCGCCCGACGCCGGGCCGGGCCCCGCCTGGCAGAGCAAGGTGAGCGCAGTGCCGGCGCCGCGGGGCCGCGCCCGACGCTGCCCGCGCTCCGGGAGCTGGACGAGGAGGAGGAGGAGGAGGAGGAGGATCGCTGGGGCCGTGGGGAGGGCGCTCGAGGTGGTGCCGGCACCACCAGGGTGGCGGTCACTCGGCAGAGCGACCCCAGCGCGGTTTGCTGCTGCCGGCAATGAGCTCCCTGGTGGGGAGAGCTGTTGTGCCAGCCCGGTAACTGAGTTGCTTCCCTCCGAGGGAGTTGGAGCCGGGTGAGCTCGGTTATCCTGGCGGTAGGCAGCGAGTCCCGGCTTGCTTGGATTTGCCGTTCCCCAGCCCCCGCCTCCCGAGCGAGCTGT